TAGTTAAAGTTTAGTATGGAACAGTTAAGTTTAAGTACAGTTTAGTATGGAATAGTAGAAGTTTAGTTTAAGTTTAGTTTAGAATAGTTAAAGTTCAGTTTAGCATGGAACAGTCGAGGTTTAGTTTAAGTTTAGTTTAGTATGAAGTGACTGATCCACTGAGCTACAATGAGTGTTGGGGGATGTAACATTACTTTCACGGTGCAGGAGGGAAACAGCAACTGTGGGTAAAAACGCCATTAACTCTCCTCACAACCTTAATTAACCACACTCTATTTAAACGTCTAAGTTAAAACCAAATTACCTGAAACAAGAATGAAAACCACTGAACTTTAACCGGTTTTTAAGTCTTTAAACCAACAGACCTGATGAATCACGGCTCCTCCGTAACTCTTCTTCTTTTTCTTCTTCGACGGTAAAAACAAATCAATCGAACGTGTCGCAGGTTTCAGCTCGTTCGGGAAACAAGTCTTTTTACTAAAGCAACATTATTCGGATTTAGAAACAGTTCAATCGTCGTCGCTGAGTTTCAGGAACCGACTGCTTCTTCTCCCGCTCGTGATTTGAGTTTTACGCCAAAACGTCTACAGTTGGGGGCTGCAGCTGTCGCGAGGCATTCTGGGCAGTGGAGTTTTACTGGGTTACATTCCAATACAGAAACTTTCACACTACAAATCCGCTTCAAATGCATTTTTTTGACAACTTAATTAACAAATATAATGACTCCACGTTAATGAATGTATCACGTAGAGCTGTAGATTCACCTCCAGCCTCATTCATCAGCAGCCAAACCGGACTGCTGAGCTTGTTTTTATGGGATTTACATAACAGTGATTCCTAAATGATTACATCAACCACGGCAAGACAGGGATCACTAATCTGAGAAGTGACTTTTAAATTAATGATTAAATACAAGGCAACGTGTAAAACAACAAGACACACTTTACACAGAGTCGGGATGTTTTAGTCAAAGTTACCCAAAAAAAAGTTTGAAGTTAAGAAAAGGAAACTTTCAACTTCTGAGAGGATCGATAATCAAAACATAGAGATTTAAATTAAAATGAAGGTTAAACATTATGGTACCCAGCACAACAAAACTCTGCATCATGTTTAACTCTGATTAAAATGTGCAAATCAAACTTCACGTAGAGACATGTATTTACCTGAGAGATGCAGGGGACCTGTCAGTGAAGTAAACTCCATCAACATGTAACTCTTTATTTTCTGTTTCGTTTTTAAATTCCACCAACACTCGTCTTTTCCCCTCAAGAAGCAGATGAAGCAGAGTCCAGACTCCTCCTCTGTTTGAATAGAGGACAAACAGGAAAATACAGCAACTGCTTCTGGTCTCCTTCAAAATAAACTCCACCGGAACATCTGCTACAAACAAGTAATAAGACATGAAACAAGAGAAACCTTTATTGGATTGGATTTTCCTTACTTAACTAATAAATCTAAACCCTCAAAATTTCAGAGAGCTCCAGCTCATCTAATACTTTCATATATGTCGAAATACATTGGCATCTACATCCATGTAAAACAATTTTAAAAAATCACAAGAAAAAACAAGCTATTACTTTATTAGTCCAACTTTGGGACAACTTCCGGTGTTACAGCAGCGAGGAAGAGGATAGTAAAAATAAACACTCAGTAAAAGTAATAAGTGAATAAAGATGCAACATAAACATAAGGAAATAGAAAGTTAGTTGAAGTTGTGGAAATGTGTCTTTTCACAGAATAACAGTGAACATATAGCCTCATATGTGATCTGTTTACATTTTGTGTATTCAAGTTGTGTATTCAAGTTCTGTGCATAATGTAAGTAAAAGGTGACAATCATGCATTACCCTGTAAATTTGCTGTTATGAATGGAAAAAGTTTAATAAATGAAATATGAAATCCCTTTACAGGGCATCACTCAGTTACAGAGGTTTATGGGGTGATTTATTCTGAAATGTTTCTTGTCCTGATGCTGCTTAGATCTGTTGTTAGGATCTGTTAGGTTCCTCTATAATACTACTTATACCGCTGCTAGAACTACTACTGCTAATAATAATTATGTTAATAAAAAATAATAATAATGATAATACTTATAGTTATATAGAAAGAGCTTCCCAATAAAACAGAAGATGCAATAAAGTAAGTCTCTGAAGCACAAAAGTTTGAGAACCATGCTTCAACAGAGTAAATTACTGTACAGGAACTAATCATATAATTTAGTCACAGCCCCTGTTGCTGTACATTAGCCTGAGTTCAGTCACATGACACTTTACTCTTTCACCAACACAGTTTGTACAATAAAGTGTTTTATTTTCAACAGCAGTAAAAAGGGAGGCGACTGTCGGCCTCACATGACAAACGGTTCCATGGAGGGAAACAAAACATTCAATATGTAGGAACAGTTCATGTGACAGCACAGACGTGATGTTAAGAAATACACACAGCTACAGAGCTTAAGCTGCTGTGCAGGCTGGCACTTGTTTTAACATATCTCTCATACACTTCAGATTATTAAAACTGAAATTATTATTAATTAACAACAAGCTAAAGCTGCTCAATTATTATTATGTAGGTGAAAACAGCAAAGCAGAAGAAAAACAAACATATTTCTATAATTTATCTCTCGGCACACATAAATATAAAATTTCTCCAGTTTGTTTGTTGGAAAAAAAGCAAAATAAAATAAAAAGAAATGTAATCTCTTTAGCATGTGGAGGAAATCAGCCGGGTTGGTTCAGGATCATTTGTAGTCTCCCCAAAGTCCGACAGTCTTGGCATCCCACTCTGAGGTGGACAGACACTTGACGAAGAAATGTCCCAGGTCGTGTTTGGAAATGGCTCTTCCTTTTAGCATGTTTTCTGCTGTCATGTAACGCTCTGTCAGAGGGAGGTCGCCTGGAGAGAGCGAGACAGACACGGAAATATTCAATGAAAAACATATATCACTGCATTCTACAACCACAGTTAAAAGAAAAATTGATGTGATAGAGATGCTTTTCACAGTAAAATAACCATTAAAACAGAAATGTTCAAATCAATGGTAAGATTTTGTTTTGTACAAAAGAGGTGAGTTGACAGTCTATAAACATTTTCTCTGTTAAAGACAAAAATCTATGTACTGACCCCTCTGTTTTTCCCCTTTTGTACATTATTAATTTCAGTAGACACTTTTATTTATCGATTTACTTTTGTTGATGTCACTGCCATTAATTTTTTTCAGTTGAGATTTGAGGTGTTGTGTTTTTATTGTTTAAAATCTACTTGTAATCAATTTTTCCCAAATAAGTGTCATCAGACTGGCTTATTGTGGGACTTTTTTGCAGCAATAAAAGTTTCTACTTCTTACTTACTGGCGATGTGAGGAGGCATGACAGCCACGTAGTCCAGCTCGGACGTTTTCAACACCGTGTACATCCTGTCGTGGTCCTCTGTCAGTGGAACCAGACGGGGCGGGACCTTGGTGCGATCCCACAGCAGGAAGGCTGGAAGAGAGGAGGATGAAGAAAATGAGTAGAGAAGGATGAAATACAATATGTATGTTGATAAGAAATGATAGGACACATATGTATCTAATACATGAGCTTCAAATACACTCTCTCAATCTTCTTTGTTACAACAGTGAGTCGTACTCGTACCTGACATGCAGCCGATCACTTTACGGATCCCTCGAGCTCTCATGGCCTCCACGATGTTCTTGGTGCCTTCAGACATCATGGTGGTTGGGCCTGATGAAAAAACAGAAAAAACTATTAAAAACTGGGCTTGAGTGTAGTTCTCAGGCCGTGACACTATACACTTACTCCACTTTCATTAGAGATACACACATGAAAAGATTAAAATGTGTATACAACTTTTATCTTTATATTGCACATTTATTAAACAGCCTTGTGTTGTTTTTAGTCTTTCTATTTTCATTTTATTTATTCTAGATTATTTTGGAATTGCATTTTAAACTTGTGCTGCTACTTCTTTGTGCTGCTGTTATTCAGATTGTGTCACAGTGGGTTGAATGTTGGGTTATAAGTCTTATGGCGACCTCTAGTGATATTTTAAATTTTTACACAATTAAAAGCTACAATCCTCCTTTTGGAGGGCAACCGTAGTCAGTTACAGGAAGATGTTGAAATTTAACAATCTGTGCAAAAAAACCATGTAAAATCTTATAAAAGGAAGAGAAATCATATGCTGTGCAGTCTTTGCACAAATGCATGAAGAAGAAAAATGCTGCAAGGAGAAAAAGACTGTGGAAACATCTAAAGCTAGAATCAAGGCCCATTCTGTGAGGTCACTGTTGAAGGAGGGACTTACCTGGATTCACCTGTCTGTGCAGGGGGAGGAGTTTTGAAGTGGAAGTTATGTAAGGTCTGGGTGTGTCCAGCCGATTACTTGCAGCCCAAGCACCAGTAAGTGTTTGATGTTGGCTAGTTCCTAATAGCTAACAGCTCATTTGATGGTGTCATCTATGAGAGTACTTTGATTTCCTGATGACGACTTCAGATGTTTTGTGGACATAAAGGTTCAGTGTGTAAGGTTTAGGTGAAAGGGATCTTTTGGCATCTTTTCTCTTATATTGTATGGTTGTGTGTTTTTCCTCTTACTCAGGTCACTACGCGTGCCCAGGATGATGATGACAGCATCCTGGCCCTCCATGGTCTTCCTCACATCCTCTTTATTCAGTACGTCTCCAACCACCACTCTGGAAGCCTTGTGGTCAGCAGGCAGCTTGGCAGGGTCTCGCACTAGCACCGTCACATTGTACCCTGAGGGAGGACACGTGGAAACTAAACAGGTCAACAGAGAAATTGTAGCAACATGTGCTCACTGCCCCAAAAACCACAGATATAACTTGGCAGAGGTTGTCTTGCATATGAATACATAACACAATTTTAAATGCATATAGAGATTTATGGTCTATATGCCCCTGAACGGGCCATCATGTACTAAATGAACATCATGCTGTATTGAAAACCTTAATGCTGATGTTATAAATCAAGTAAGAAATAAAGTAATTTACTCATAGACTTCTATAGAAACTGACTTTTAAAACCGCCCTCTGCTGGTAATTCAAGAGACTTTTTTTATACACTACTGTAAAAGAGTCAACATGTAGGATTTAGTGGCATCTAGAGGTGAAGTTGCATATTGCAACCAACTGAAAACTAGCCTCACCCCTCCCCCTTGGAGGGGGAGGCTAGGAGGATAATTGGCTGACCCACTCCCTGTGTAAATATAGATATCATGCTGCATTTTTTTTTTACACACAGCATGATATCTATAATGTTTTTATACTTTATATTATATTATTTATTCATTACACAATACAATAATAACCTAATAGTGAATATGATGTCATTGTTTGTCCTTCTTTTAAATCCTATTTAAAGTGTCTGAGTTCCATGAAAAGTGCTTAACAAATAAAATATATTATTAGTATTCCAATGAGGCACATTCTTGGGACTGGTATCTATAAATGTGTGAAATTTGCTGCGGCTGGATTTAATTTAAAGGACTGTTGGGCCTTGGCACAGATGCGTGCTCTATTGACGACCATTTTATTTGCCTTTGTGAAGCAGAATTAAAATGATCAGTTTTTCTGCATTCTCTACTTCTAATGCCCTTATCCCTGAGGGAAGTGTGTCATGAACATGAAAACATTGACAGTAAAATTCATCAGCATGACACAGTTTTTTTAAACTCAACATGGAATAAGAGTCTTCTCCATAAGCAGTGTAATAATGACTCCACCCATTCTGTGCAGGCGAGATAGTAACATCTTCTATCGGCTCTCTGTGTCTTGCTGTGACTCAGCACATTCTATAACGTCTAAGGTGACTCAACAGATTTTTTAGCGGGAGGAGAGGAAATGAAAATGCTGTTGAATCGAATTAATCTTGTGACATGATGTGTGATTTGTGTGGGTGTGAGTTTGCCTGTATTTTGTATTTGTGAGTCTTTCAGTGGAAAATTGAACCAATTACAGCAGAGATTTAAAGTTAAGTCATATTCTGATGTGACTTTATGAATGAAGACAAACACAAGCGATACTAAATTTAAGTTTACACGAAGAAGACGTTTCTCATTATATTAAATATGTTAGTCTTCGGAAGCAATTAAAATACAACTGGGAAATATAGACAGAATCAAATATCACCATATTTTGGTCCCATCTTGATATAGTTATTAAAAAATCATGTATTGATCTATAGATGATTCTTGGTGCTCTTGCACTACTGAAAGTCTGAGGGGAAAATAGTCATATGTATGTTATGCAGAAACTGAAATGTGAAAGCTACAAGTTAAGCTATAACCTGCTCTATAACAATTACACAGGAAGTATAACAATATATTACATATATTACATTGATTTATTATCCAGCTCTAAATCCATGGCAGACGCAGATGTCTACACCTTGACTCTCCTAATCCTAAAATTAAGCAAATCCAATAATAATACTATATTAATGAATCATGAGTCTTTTTCTACAAATTGTATTTCTAATGTTGTTGATCTTGTATGCATGAATGTGTTCACATCATAATTGTAAAGCCTCCTGTTGTTTTTAATGTGCATCTTGACTTGACCAATAATAATAACAATAATAATAATATAAAGAACAAATTATCATTTTAATAATCATTGATAATCAAACGCAAATCTATTACAATGTAAATGCATCATTTGGATAGATTTAGAGCTTCACAAGTGTATCCCACAGTTCACTCCTGTATGGATTAGTGAACTTAGACAGATTCCACTTGTCTTCTCCAACTCTGCACAATAACATGTTAATATCGTGTCAATGAACTGTATGAAACATGTCAATGTCATGTTAACAGATGTTCTCACCTGCGGACACAGCCAGGGGCAGAGTTGCCAGACCGGTCATTCCCGTCGCTCCAAAGATCGCAACGTTTCTGATGGACTCTGACATATTTAGTAAGAAAGGAGGAGCGGGACTCATCAGCAGCTTGTTTCTCTGCGGTTTGACGGACTTTCACCTCAAAACACACTCACGTGTCACCATATGTAACCGCGCACAGACGCGCCCCCTTTATGTCACACTTCCGCATGCCAGACTCCTCCTCCCGCGAGCCTTGACGCTGCCATGTTAAAGTGACACTGCACATGTTTCAAACTAAATTATGCCTGAAATACATGAATGCTGCTTTCAACATCACATTAATACCAAATTAAACATTCTTTAGTGCGCTCCCCAAATTACAGTGTGAAACCAAAACTAACCAGATCAAATGGAAACAAAGGAACGAAGAGATGAAGCTTGGTTCAGACTTTCATGTGTCAAAATGTCCTTTTAGAGACATTAAAATATGATCTTGTTAGGACAGACTTCATTCTGCAGACTGACCACCAGGGTCTGCAGTGGCTCCATAAGAACCCAAACTTTGTTTCACACTCAATGAAAACCTGAGACAAGTCAGATCAGATGTGATCAGTTATTTTCTCATAGTTGAATCACCTACGTCTTACCTTCTTGCCTGTTTGACATTGAAAGTCATTTTTAATAGTAATAATTGAAGTGTGCAGTAACATTAGGTTTGATTCCACCTTTAAAGACATGTGGCGACTGTGGTTTGGTGAAGAATTCCGGCTTTGAGACTGTGTTGTGAGAGGAGCAGCGATCGTCCTCCAACCTGAATGTTGGCGGTTCAATCCCAGTCTTCCCCATCTGCATGCCGAAGTGTCCTTGGGCAAGACGCTGAACCCTGAATTGCCCCTCATAGAAAAAAAAGTGCTGCTAATAGATGCACTGTATGAATGTGTGTGTGAATGGGTACTGTAAAGAGCTTTGAGTGGTCAAGACTAGAAAAGTGTTATATAAATACAAACCATTCAGTTTTCCCTCACCTCTTATTGTTTTGATTTAACAACAGAGACCTAGCAGTCGTATGAACTCTGATAAACATCTTAGTGAACCCCTGGAATTAATTCAGCTTCCTCACTGCTACAAGCAGAAAAGT